TGCATTTTCAAGTACCGTCATGAAAATGCTCATTCAAACCGAGCTTGGACCATTATTTTCATTTTTGCCGTTTTGGAAGTGCTTTACGGATTCTGTTTCTCTCTTTCTTATTGTATGTAAAGGTTTTGAAGTTTCGGTTACAAAACTGCAAAGTATTTATGTATATTTATGTTTAATATATTCCATTTTCAGCAGATTTTGTTTTTGTTTTTTTCAAAACTCAGTTTATTATTAAGAGATGCAGCAAAATAACACCATCTTAAGCAGTTTGGTAGTCGTCTGTTTTAGTAATGTGAAATCTGTTTTAGAACAGACAATTGAAAGATGACTAAGTGTACATTTCAATCTAAGATAACTCTCTATATAATACTAGTATACCCTTCAATATCTCAAATACAGGTCAGTTCAATTATAACTGACAATTATGTTTCTGATCTTGTTTTTTTCCTAGATCTGTACAAACGTAATTTGACGAGGTCGTTAAATGACGTACTTTATAGCATATTTTATTAATTCACAATCTTAATATATAGCTGGATGTGTACTTTTCTTGTTATCTAACACCGGTGTCCGTGGCTATAGCACGACTGATGTGTAGCATAAGATAGAAGTAAATTTACATTTCCTGGAGTATCTAAAACGAGAGGAAATATTAAACGAAAATGTCAACATAAAACACATTTCCGCGTAAATGAATCGATCCTCTTAACTTCTCGCTTCTAAGTGATTAACAAGACCTATTTGCATTTGACCAATAAATATAAAATTAATTCTCGGATTAATAGTGTCTAAAAGATTTATTCCACATAGTATTTTGAACATCAAAAGAAGTTCCAATAATTATTATGTAAATATCGTTTAACTTTAATACAGGCATGGGAATTTTTCCTTGTGACATTTTCGTTTAATTAAGAAACTCAAAGAACGTTCCTTAAATCTAAAAGAGGAAAAAATGACCGAGCATTAATCGCACAAACGGATTCTTCTACGATATATGAATCTAGTTAGAATAAAGTAGTTGCAAAAACTGTCTACACCGAGATAGAATTTCAGTGTTTTCCAAGAATTTTCTTCTATTTCTACGTTAACATATCCTAAGCTCCTAACAATAATTTCCCTAGCGTCTAGTTTGCTTAGTGTAAGTTTTCTAAAATCTGATGTTTTTTTTACCTGTCATAAATGTACTAATAAAAATACCTGTCTACATCAGATAGTATACTCGCCTGGTGACACAATCAATTTAAAAACTAATAAAAAAGTTTGAATGGTATTTTTTTACGTTTATACAACTATGCTCTGTTACGTATAATTTATTATTCATGTATAATTAAACATTTATGATGGGTATGTTATATATAACAATGACACAATGCCCTGAAACTGAGCCGTATATTTGTCAAAGACCTATTTGCGGTTGTAACATTATTGTTCCGGGACAAAAAAAAACGTGATTTACGTGCTACAAAGAGCATGGTACATTTGTACATAAAATAATGGATGAATGATTATGCACGGCGTCCTCGTTTTCTATTTATAAACGGGTTGCTATGTTAGCGTGTGGATCAAAAACAAGCATAATTTAAAAGTACTATTATTATTATTATTATTATTATTATTATTATTATTATTATTATTATTATTATTATTATTATTGTTGTTGTTGTTGTTGTTGTTGTTGTTGTTGTTGTTGTTGATTTGACTAACACTGAGATAGGTGGATAAGATGTAAGAGGGTTGTATGTCTATTTAACTATTTAATGGTGTAACCATTTCTCCGATTTTATTTTTTTGGACTTTGTGGTACATACATGTATACATGTACATCCGGTTTAAAGCTGCATACCTCCAAATAAGCTAAAATATTAAATTTTTAAGAAACTCAAAGTTGAGAAAAAATGTACTAAGATTTTAAGAAAAGTAAAAAGATAAAGTATATATTTTTAGAAGTTAATGCTTTAAAAAAAGTGATTTTGGGTTTTTAATTAACTATTTTTACTGCGGAAATAAGCGGGAAAGGGGGTTTTTTTCAATTTTTGACCCCTTTTTTTTATTTAATGTAAGTAAGTGCCCCTTTAATTCCTTTTTTCAATTCAAATATAGTGCTTTTGAAATTTATCAAAAAATTTTTTATGAAAATGAAAAAAATCGGGGGTGCTTTTTAAAAAATGAAAGCAAAAAAAGGGTTATCTCCGTGAAAAATATAAAACTATCTATTCTAGAATTCTAGATGAAATTAGTTCATATCCGTTAATCTAATCACCCAGTCTTCATCACGGTGTCATTTGTTAATTTCCCGCTTTTTACCCTTCACTTAGTAGATTAAAGAATATAAATGGGTGGATTTTTTTTTATTTTTTTTTTGCCTAGGGTATATACTGTCATAGATGATAAAGATTTCTTTTAGATAATTAAAACTTAGTAAATAAACTGCTTACGGGAAACATTTGATAGTAAGACTTGACTAAAACATGCCTCTTCTTTGTTATGCCAAAATTCAATTAAAGGCCCATTTTGCCCCAGAAATGCTTTTATTTTTATTTTTCCAAAGTTATTTTTTTATTTGTTGGTATCTTATTATAGTTTTCAAAAATGTTATTAGCTGAGTACCGGAACCTTCTTATGCTTCTGTTGCCTTTTAAGAAGTTAGAACCATTATAGAGATTTAGTACGGAAGTCAAAAATCTACTTAGTTTAAATTTTGCTACTGTACCTTTAAGAGAAATAATGTCAAATTTCGTGGTATTTTCGTCAGGTGATAAGCATCAACCATTTTTTCAACGTTGTCAAACTCGTTTGACCTTTAAAAATGGGAATGTAAATATTTGCTTCTGGGGCATAATGTGCCTTTAAACTAGGAATCAACTACAGCACAATCTCTATACAGCGACACTCTTTAGAGACAATGATTGTGACTGTAACTGAGAGGGTGTTGCTCGAGAGAGGTTACAATCATTGTCAGTCTTATTTGTAGTGGAGGGCCGGGGGGGGGGTAATTGGTCAATTTGTTGTAAAAAAGGATATTTTGCTGCAGAGGGTCGCAATGCGGAGGTTGTACTATATTTATTAATATATTTTATTATTTGTAAAAACTGAATTCAACGAAAGCATATTCTACGGAAGCGATATAGGACCTCTATTCTGTGCGATCAAGATGTTGAAGTTGACAGATTTTTATCCGATTTGATTGATGTTGTAACAAATTAAACCAAACCCAACCCAAAGGACCTTAAGACCACTTGGACTTTATGTCACCTTTTTATAAAAATGAATGTAATTATAAAATAATATAAAATTGGTTAGAAAAAAAATAAATATAGCGGTACGACTGTTTGAACAAATTGCGAGACAAATTTTTACAACTCCTATTAATCACCACTATAGTTGGGGTTTTCTCTAAACTAAAACAAAAACAAAAACAAAAAACATTGGGTAGAAAGTTGTCCAGCTAAAGAGAGGATTTGCTAAAACTTCACTAAAGAAATTACTTGAACTCTGTAAATTTCCTTGTCAATTAAAAAGAGATAATTATTTGAATTGAAACTATATTGTATTACTATTATTAAAACTGATATTTAAGTTACACCATTTCATTTTCATATTTATTTATTTCCCTACAGACTTGTTTTACTCTGATTACATACTGAAAGTAAATGATCAAATGGAAATCTAACGAGCATATGTGGACATACATGTATATAATTATCTTATTTGCAGACTTCATATCTAATGATGAAACTTTTGATTGTACAAATCGATATTTCATATCTATAATTTCAATGCAGCGTGATAATTGTTATTCTATACTTTTTTAAACATAAATATTCTTTGTGTTATTTTTAGATCGAGCTATATTTTATTGGGCGAATAGCAGGTAATTGACAAAATGATTTAACCCTGACTTCTCTAAATATCATTAATGGACTTGTCCATCTTCCAATCTGGACAAAACCATTCGTCATTTTAAGGGAAATTTTCAAAATATTCATACTGACTGAATAATGAACAGTGCAGACCAAGGTGTGTTTCTGCAATAGAATTTGTCGACCGGCGGCAAGCAAGGGCTTTTTTAAAGCGTGCAAAAGATGTATATTTTTTCACTACAAAACATTTCTTATATAATAATAATGTTTGACAGGGTGTTTTAAACCTTTTCTTTCTTCTTTTGTATCGATAGTTGGTTTATTATTATTATCCTCATTATTCCTTGCAGGGATTTTTTGGCTTATTTTATAGCCGATATTCGGTCATATTCCCAATTGAAAATAGTATATTTTTTCCCAGTCCACAGGAAAAAATTCCCAATTGAAAGTTATATAACAAAATATTGATTAACAAATTCAAAAACCTTTGAAAACAAGGGCTTTTTCACTGTAATAGTGTTTAAATGTTTGTAGATGCCATCCTAGACAGTGATTCTTTGAATTTATTTTTATTATCACTGCAAAATTTAAGTAAATTAAATGTATTTTTCCCAATTTTTAACATAACATCTATTATTTTATATCCATAATTATTATTATGATTATTCAAATAATGGTATCGAATCGATGCTAGTATTCTTAAACTAATCTTCAAATTATGGTACTATTTTTCCCCAAACCTTTACGTGGAACGAGTCTTTATTTCTCATTAACGAACCCCGAGTCTCATGGCTCATAATATTTGAATACGGGCTCCGAGTCTTGCCTACCAACACTATTAATACGGACCCCGAGTCGTGCCTGACTTTTTCAGATTAATAACATCAACATTTTTTTTATAAATTAATTATTGTCATTTGAACATGTTTTTGTTGTGAGATAAAGAAACCGAGTCAGAATTCGAAGGTTGCACAATTTAAATCTACAAACGAACTTGTCATGTATTTGTCTTGGGTTTTAAGTATTGCAAATCTGCAAAGCTGGATACATATTATGTATATTGAATAAACTGATATATAACTCATAATCTTTAAAAAGTTCTTTGTTAAACATTAAAGAAAATCATTAAAAGAAACCTACCAGAGCTGGTTTTGAGCTGTACGGGTCTTGAAGTCCTCGCCAAAGTCTTGGTTTGGCTCGAACTAGGAAAGACGCGTCTGGTGAGACATAAACAGGGTGAAACTTGTCCCGTTCATCCGCCTGGAACTTCTCTAACATTTCCATAGTTTCTTCATAACTAATATAATTAACCCAGCAACACTCCTCGATATCTTTATCTTCAAGTTCCCAGTAGTCCAGCTCAGCCTTCGCCGCCGGGCCACATACATCCGTCGGCATGTGTAACTTTCCTATCCGATAGTAATTTAAGATGCACGGAAATATTTGCGGATTTCTGTCAAAATAAAACTCTTTTTTCCCACTCGCTTTCGCAGTTTCACCTACCGAATAAAGTCTTGTTTCCGGCTTTTTCAGAAGGGTTGCTATGCGCGTCTCGTGCCGGATGCCGCCAACATTCAAAATTATGACGTCATCATCATCTATTTTCTCCCCGGACTTGTTGACAGTGTTAGATTTAACATGACTTTGGTCTGACTTAACTAAATTTCCAACAATGTCGGTGATTTTTAGCTTTGAATCGTCTTTTGTGTCCATTTTGATAATCATTTATAACCGGAACTGGCGACCATTTTCTATATACATGTATTGAAATTCGGTATTGATATTTGTGTCATAATTAATAATATAAATTTTATATCAATACATGTATATGTATTTATAACTTTTGAAAATGTTTTGTACTTCTTTTTACCAGTTTGTTTGTTTTAAAACTACTTTATTATTATTTTTTTAATTAAAACACGGTGGCATGTTCAGCTGATTTTGTTTTGGTCTTGAACAGTTCCTTACTAAACAAGCATTTTTAATTCATGTAATTCCACTTACATTCGTCAGTTAATTCCTTTAATATTTTATCCACCTATGAAATAACATTTCCACATACTAAATGTTTTTCATCCGAAAGAAAACCTTGCTTAAAATTGACCCGCTTCTACATATCCATTGTAAACAGTAATTAAACCAACAAATATGAAATAATCATCGTAATGTTATTCCTGAAATGGTTCCGAATTGTTTAAATTGAACAAATGTACAAAATTCATAAAGGCTAATGCTACAGCGATCAATTCTCTTACACTAAAGCGGTACGGTATTAGCAGGTGCCCGTTACCCGTTGTTCTATCGCCAATAATGTCCTCCGCTAGTGTTCTTAATGACTATAAAAGCGTATTGTCGCGTCGTTAGATGTTGTTTTTCGATAATTGCTGCGAAATAATATTTACATAGACGGACGCAAAAGGTTTCCAAGTATATATACAATGTATATGGCTAAAAAAGGAGATGCATGACTCATGTATTTGTTTTTATAGTATTTTTCATTCAAAAATATACATAAATGAATTTGAAACAAAAATGATACCAATTGTAATTATGTCATTTGTTATGGGTGTTAATAATTAATTGCTAACATATCGACAGATCTGCTCAGTAGAGAGTCCTATATTTAATAAAATGCCGATATTATTGATGACCTACGTACAAAAGAAATACACTCATTACTTTTAGAATACACAATTTTGAATTTTCCATTCATAAATGTATGGCACACATTTATTTTGGTGTTTCAAGATTTTTGTTGTTGTTGTGTTTTGTTGTTGTTTTGTGTTTTTTTATTGTATTTTGTTGTTGTTGTTGTTGTTGTTGTTTTGTACTGTGGAAATCCAAAAACAAGAAAAAATTGAAATAACAATATCAGAATATATAGAAGAAGACATTTGAAGAAAGCCAGTATTGCATATTATTTGTTGTTATTTTTTTTTCGGATTTCCGTCGCCGCATCAACATTGTAAAAGTCATATGGTAAATGCCCTGTTTTACTGGTGGCGAATACCTCAGGTGTCCTCCCGTACATTAAATGAGCCGCGTCACGACAAAACCAACATAATGCGTTTGCGACCAGCATGGATCCAGACCAGCCTGCGCATCCGCGCAGTCTGATCAGGATCCATCCTGTTCGCTTACAAACCCTATAACAATTAGAGAAACTGATAGCGAACAGCATGGATCCTGATCAGACTGCGCGGATGCGCAGGCTGGTCTGGATCCATGCTGGTCGCAAACCCATTATGTTGGTTTTGTCGTGACGCGGCTCATTTCAGACACGAAGGTCACCTGAGTAGAACTAGCTTTCTGAATGGTTTACTCACATGATAGAATCCAAAGTCCCTGGTGGGATTCAAACCCACAGCTGTGAAGGGCAAGTGGATTGAAGCTTATGACAGTAACCACTCGGCCATTAACCTAAAGTAATAAATACAAGCGTAAATAATTCTAAATATTTATTATTATCATAAAACAAATTTATATATTTGAAAAAGTAAATAATATCAAATGATGTAGTATGATGCATATGCTGTTTGATATTGTTTATAATTTACACTTCATTCAATGCTTTTGGAGTATTAATCGTGATGAGAGCTGAGCAAGAAAACTATTACTACAATAAGAACGTAAAAATGCTTCTTTTTTTAAGAATAAATTATTTCATATTTATATTATATTATTATTTATCATTATTTACATCTGTATAACACAGTTTTTACTAGGATTTGGGAATTGTACGCAAATGTCGTAATTAAAAAGCCGATGGTTTCTCAATCTGCGTTTATTGAGAATAACCTGTTGTTATTTATGTTGTTATTGTTGCTTTCATTTTGTACGAGTGTCAAACACCAGCAAAAGCATGGTCTACTTGATTTCAAGGAAGATCCAAGGTAGAAAATCAAAATAAAAAAAGATAATTTAGAAAGAATGTTCACTATCTACGTGCTACATGTATATGCGTCATTTATTTCACAATTATCTTACAAATATAATATTAATAATATTTTGATCAGACAGTGTAATGTTAAATTTACATTGATAAACATTCATATAATGCCATAGATCTCATTATCTCATTCTGTACAAAATAAATTATGTAACAACAGTCTGTAGGTTGTTGTTCAATATTACACAATAAACCTTTTGACCGCAATTCAATATTTCAATCTTGATTCGTGATTCAATATATTAAGGTAGATTTAAAACTGCTTACGAGTCCTGGCTGCATTATATGTGTTAATTTAGTACGTTCTGTCTATTTCTTAAACTTAATTAGCCCTCAGGCTGAAATATATGTCATTTAACGTGCGAACTATTAGGTTAAAAATTCAAATGTCCAGTCAGTTACTTATCATACATATACGGTCACTTCCTTGAATGAATTTTAGCTATGTTAAGTGAAAATTAGGTTAGTCCATTAACGGTGGCGTAGGGAACTGGACTCGAGGGTTCTGTCGGAGGGTCGGATATGATTAGATGTAGGTTTTTTTGACATTAAAGGGATTTAATAAATATGTGAGTATATCTACTTGTATTCAATTTTACATACCAGTGATGACATTGAATTTAATTTGTTTTAATAAAGTCGGCTTTATAAAAAAATTTGGGTTTACCAATCATAGACGATGAAAATCTTCTGAAATGTTTTATGATGTATTTCACAAATACATGAACAATGTGTTATGCAGTTATATCTGCCAACCTTCATTTTAAGTGAAATTTTAATGCGTTTAATAACAACACAATTTAGGGGAGCGGTGATTTCGTGTTGAGAGGGGATTTATATACATACCAATAACATGAATGGTTTTATTTCTTTTATTTCATTTTAAGTGTAAAAAAAAAATAATGTATTTCCAAATTAAAATATCTAAACCAAAAAATGTCAGATTTGTGTCCGGTTTTGTCAAGGGTAGGTTAATATCCCGCCTAAAATTCATTTCACATAAGTTAACTGTATGCAGTAAGAGGCTTGGTACATATGTTGTTTATTATTGCTTAATTTTTTTATCAATAAGTAATAATATTTTGCTTACTAATTTGAAATAGGCCCCTATATTGTCATGAACAAAACCGTCTTTTTGGTTTACAAGTCAACCTCGTATCACTGACCACAGAGATAATACACTTTGATATATCATCCCCTACCGCCAACACCGCCCCACCCCCCCCCCCACCCCCTCCCTCCAGTCCTTGCTACAACCCCGAAAAGTTTAATTGAAAGTCAATTTTCTAAATGTAGTATTCATAACAACAAAAATATGACAATGAGTCAATTTTCATTACACCTCTATTGTATTAGTTATACAAGAATAGCAACTCGTACATATTCAAGGGTAGCAACTCGTACGCCCTTCCAGTGCTTTGATTCTACCAAACATTACATTCAATATCATAACTCACCCAAATCTCTTTAATTTTTAATAAAACTTGGTCTCGATCAATGCAGTATAGATAAATGTATGCAATGATATCTTCCATATTAAGCAGTGTTAAATATTTTGTTTTTTATACGAACACCGAAACAGCCGGTTACTTGAAATTTAACAAGATCTTACAGACCCTATAACAAGTAAAGAAATTGATAGCGAACAGCATGGATCCTGATCAGACTGCGCGGATGCGCAGGCTGGTTTGGATCCATGCTGGTCGCAAACCCATTATGTTGGTTTTGTCGTGACGCGGCTCATATATTTCATACATAGCTACAGTAGAATGCAAAACGTACATATTCTTCTTCTCTCATGCCTCCATCAAACAAATACCTTATCCGGAATACTCTACTTTTATCGTTAAAAAAATCGTCGCTCTACGATAAAATTAGAGTATTCCGGATAAAGTTTATATGAAGTCACGAAGAAAATAAGCGTTTTATATTTTTTCGTGTATAAAAAATATGTCTTTTGCTGCTTGTTTGCTATTTTGGTAGTTGGTATAATCATGGTGAATAAGTTTGTTGTATGTTAGTCAATAATACTATTCTATTTACACCTTGCTGCCTTTATGACACATGACTTCACGTTCAGCAATACTTTTTTCAGTTGTGGCAATTAATCTATTATTAAAACATTACTAAACACATGTTTAACGCATGTTTGACGTTTCTAAACACTTAAAAGTACATGTATATGGATTTCTGAGGCATAATGTGCAAGTTATAATGGAAAAAAATGCTCAGTGGTAAAGGTAGCTGCATCTCCGTCCGGGTCAAGGGTTTGTGCCATGCTGGACTCATGACCAGATATCGTCATATCAAGCCAGTACATGTACTTAAATATTATTCAAGGAAATGGAAAACTTTTACAATCAAGTTTATATTCATTTAAATTGAAGATAAGAAAAAGATTTTACGTATTTATATATTTTTTTAATTTATACACCAAATTGACCTGTAAGTGGCATCCAAAACTTGATACTGACAAAAAGATTTGATTGGCAACGCGAATCAAATGGGGACCTTCCGCGTTTTCGTAGGCGTTATTATTAGTCAGGGGAAAGAACTGTGTTAAAAAATTTAAGTGTATAAAGCTATTACTGCTGCCTGCAGTTTACAAATTTTTTGTTTTGCTGAAAGAAATTTAACATATCCCTCAGTATTGAGAGTATTTCTCTTTGTGATTAAAGCCGCCATTTTAGTTTCAAAGCATGTATTCAAAAAAAAAATATAATAAGAAGTGCTCAAAATTAGGTTATCGACATTTCTCTCATATTGATAATTATGACAATTACACTTTTTTTAGTACTGATATTCTAACTCGTGATGTTAATGTCTTTTCAGATCAGCCCTTAAATTGTCAGAGGAGGGCGTCAGGCAAGATGAACATCACAACTTGCATTGGGTTATTTGTGATTATATCCTTAAAATGCTTTCACGCGCATGCCCAATTCGGTCAATGTCCTGTGAGAAAAGTCCTCACCTACAACACTGCTCTCCTTGACCAACCGCTTTCAAGTGGTCTTCCAAATAACCGCTTACCGCGCCGGGAAGCAATAATCAACGAACTTAGACGCTTGGATGCTGACGTCGCTTGTTTACAGGAAGTCTGGATCGGACAGGATGTTGAAAGGATCGTGTCTGAGCTTTCAGACATGTATAGCTTCTCGTATAGCAAACTTCATATACCAGGGACTCTTGGTGGACATCTGCCTGATCAAAGTGGCCCGAGCATGCCGCCGTGTGACAGATATACAGCAACCCAATTCCAAAGGTGTGTACAACGGAACAGATGCATGAGAAGAAGTTATGATAATGCACGAACATACTCGTGTATAAACCATCACTGCTTCTTACAGTATAAATTATTATCACAAAATTGTGTCTCGTGCATGGCATCAAGCTGGCAAAATATTCAGACTGTGGTTCAAAAGTGCGTAGGTGTCGGCCTTCCGGGTATAAACATGCGTACAATTAACACCCCGGGACTTTTATTACTATCTAAGCGACCCCTTATAAACGCAAAGTATTCCGATTTCCATCCGTACACTAAGGAGCTTATAGAAAGAGGCTATATAGAAGCAGAAACTGAAGATCTTGGAAAATTCGTCTGCACGCATACCACTCATAATATACCATATTATCCGGAAATGGAGCTGTCGCGAATAGGTGCCTTTTCGACGTTTACAGAACAAGGGCGGTCTGAAAGAATCGAGTTAATCCAAAAGTTTGGTCATAAGAATAGATTAGTTCTTGCTGGTGACTTCAACGTAGGGGATGCCTTTGGTCCAGTGATAAATAAAGATCTTCCACAGGAATTTAACCTCTTAGCAAAGTACTTTAACGTTATGCCCGTTAAAGAATGTACATTTTGTTGGCCACATGTGAATATTTATACGAAATCAGTGGAAGGAAAGGTTCAAACAATTATTGACCATGTCTTCCACAAAGGTCATAAAGTTGTAGATATGTCGAGGGTGATAAAACCAACCGACGCCGACTTGTACGGTACGTTTCCTCTCTCTGACCATAACGGAGTTATGGCTACATTTTCATTATGCTGATTCGGTATGAAAAGAAGGTGTTAATGCCTGGCAAACTGTTGATGAAATACAAAAGACATTTAAAGATCTCATATACAATGCATTACTTTGTGATAAAGGAAAGGACTCTCGAAGCAACACTTCCATTCATGCTTTCTTTTTGTTGCTGTAAATTACGTCGTATTCTTGCTTTTCTTTAGGAATTTTCAGCGTTCATGCATTTCTAGAATTCGGGATGGAATGCTCATTTTCATTATCTGAGGGGCCAGTATTTAAGTTGGACAACCTCATAACGTAACAGTCAAAATTGGAAAACTTTATTACATTTGGTGTTGAATGGTGGCACAAGTTATATAAAGTTTAACAGATGAAAAAGAATAAGTTATCATTTTCAAATATTGATCTAAAGGCTTATATAAATTAATATTATTTGCTCAGAATTATCCATAAGCTGTCCATAATTTACTCAAATGTTAATATGTGACAGACTTATGGACGTAATTTTATGACAAATATTTCTTAATTCCAATTAAAAATATTTAATTCTCTTTTTTAATGGCGGCTATGTGTATATGCTTAAGTTTGTTATTTATTTTTTGCACATTGTAAAGCAATCGCATTGTATGCATATATTGCACTACACGTATGTTAACATATCTTTGCCCCATCAGTGTAAATTGACCATACATTCCTTCCATGAAGGTAACATCAATGTGGCTGGTCCTTATTTTCTAGAAACATTCGAAAGTAAACTAATGCTATCTGTATTTATTTAATTATCTAAAGGAAGAAAATAAAAAATAATAAACAAACACATATCTTTTCAAAATTTCTTTTATTTGATTTTCGGTTGGCGTGTGTTTACCAGAAGATTTGATCATATACACAATAAAGTATTTACAAATTATAGCCTGGAGAAAAAAATCAAGCACTATCAAATGATACGTTCCTCGTACTAATACATCACACAACTTCAAAGTAAAGGCTTTCTCATGTATTACAGTCCTCGGGATCTACACCAAACCTTACTTCTTTCATTTCCAGTCGTGCTAATAATGAATGAATGGCCGATAGTTTACAATGTTTCTTCTTTACAGCTGTAATCATGCGGCAATGTTTCATCTTGCGACTCGCTCTGTGCTCAAACTGTCGCTGAAAGCCTTTTAGAAAAGAAAATGAAATTTAAATGCGGGGTTAATAATGAGGTAGTGTTAAAGTTTATTTATAGCAACAACCGGATATCCGCACGGGAGATTACTCTAGCAGAATGTCTTTGATTGACCAGCGGAAGTTCTACAAAGTTTATTTACGTGCATAGATTAAAGTATCATCCAAAAGATTATATGTACTACTAGTCAAGTTTGAGTAGCGAGGCATAAGTGTTACTTCACTTACATTCACATCTTCCAATCTGCTGTGAATGAAGCTTTATAAACACAGGCATTTTCCTAGCGGAAACGCATATGACGTCATGCCCTTTCAAGAGTTTTTTTATACAGAACAAAAATAAGAAATGTTGGATCAACCCGGCTTTTTCTGTTGTTTTAAGCTTAACATTGTTTTCGGATTGAGTATGTTGACCATTTGATGATACTTTTAAAATTTTATTTTTTCTTACTAAATTTCCTTAGAAACGGAAGTAAGATTTTTCGAATGCGCATTCTTATCCAAAGATAAACCAAAAGTCGCCTTTTAAAATACAGTAGAACTCCGGTAAGTTGGCGTTGATGTACAATAACGCTATATACAAATGATACAAACACCATATTCAAGAAGAAGACTGTTTCATTTATATCAAGGGGTAATTTTGAAAACACATAAACTACAATACCTTGTAGACAGAACACGGTAATATTTATAAAATATAAATGAGTGTGCTCATGAAAAAAAAATATAAAAAAATGAATTTGCGATGCTATTTTTTCTTGCAGTTTCACAAGACGAAAGATTTTCTTCTGTCGTCTTTAATATAAATGATTATTAACAAACGTTATTTATCACACACCCGTGCCGATTTTGCGACTCCGTAAATATGGTATTGCACGGCCGTGCATATATTTTGACGTGACGTCATTAACGTTATACAAACATAGTGTAAAGACGCGCTAAATGTTAGCGTTATACTGTAGGCGCGTCAATGAAAAAAGACTCTTTTTTCACTTTAAACGGTCTTTAGTTTTGGTATGTGATAAATAGAATATTAAATTCGTTTTAGTTCATTACTGAATTTATTGCACTCGTTGAATAAAATAAGATTATGCTCGCCAGAGGCTCGCATAATATAATTTCATTCAACTCGTGCAATAAATTTAGTATTGAACTTACACTCATTCAATATCCTCTATTTGTTGAAAAGTTTATGTACAAGTATATTTATGATAGCATGCATGTGATGGTGCGGCGCGCTCTTTCAATACTTATTGTATTTTGTATATAGGAATCCAGAAGTTTATTTTCGGCTGTGCTTTAACTAATTCAAAAATTCGATATTTTATGCATTAATATCGTTTCACTTATTGATAACGATGCCCGTGCCAATCCAAAGTTGTGACTCGGTGAGTACCTGTAACTTCTCTAAATAGTTTAATAGAAAGAACTTACGTTTATTTGTAGACGCAACAACATGATCTCTGTTCACCTCTTTCCTAAAGTCTATGGCAAACACTTCTTTTTTCTTCATTTTTGACGAAATAAAAGTACCCCTAGGTGCTAAAATAAAACAATAAGAAATAAATGAATAAATTAACAGTTTCAAAAAGTTACAAATACGATTTTCCAGTACACATTCCCTAAAAAGTAATGGTTAAAGAAATGTTGAAAATGTCATCTTCAACAATGATTATGTCCAACACGACCATACAGGAGTATTTGGGTTGTAAATACCAGTGAATTGTAAAAACACCTACTAACTATGATGGACAAACATCCCATCTTTACCCCCACTGATATGTAATTTACATGTATCACGTAATACACGTTTTCAATATAATGTTTTTTTTTATTTACTTTTTAATTGGAAATGTGATTGTAGCTTACATTTAACAATATTCCATGAAAATACGTCAACCATCCCTGTTTTCAGTATGTCAAATGCGATGTATACATAGGAATCATTCTTGTGTCTGTATACCAGTCTGTCAGAGCGCGAATTCATGCACAACCCGTCTATTATCCTGTATCCGGTTACCTTTTCTGTTTCCACGTGGCGTGACGTAACACATACGACACAGCCAATGAGAAGAAGCGTTACAACGGACTGCAACATTTTTCATGATCAGCAATCATCTGAAAGTGAAAATACAAACTTCTAGAAAAAATATATTACCCTTGCTTTTCATTTTTTGTACATATACATTTTTTGTGGCGGATGACAAGGCAGATGTATGAAAGCAAGACGTGATCTTTTGATTTTCTTTTAATCACATTATATATTGCCATGTGCATGAGTTCATATGGTTAAATAAATACACGATTACATAAAAGACTTTATCACACACCCGTGCCGATTTTGCGACTCCGTAAAAATGGTATTGCACGGTCGTGCATATATTTTGACGTGACGTCATTAGCGTTATACAAACATAGTGTAAAGACGCGCTGAATGTTGGCGTTATACTATAGGCGCGTCAATGAAAATGACTCTTATTTCACTTTAAACGGTCTTTATTTTGGGTATGTGATAAATAGAATATTAAATTCGTGTAAGTTCATTACTGAATTTATTGCACTCGTTGAATAAAATAATATTATGCTCGCCAGAGGCTCGCATAATATAATTTTATTCAACTCGTGCAATAAATTCAGTATTGAACTTACACTCATTCAATATCCTCTATATGTGAATAATTACATATTACTTTGTGCATGATTATATTTTGTTATATGCATGACTACATATAACTATGTGCATAATTACACATGACTATGTAAAAGATTTAAAAAAGTTATATGCATTATTACAAATTGCTTTGTGCATAAATACATATGGCTTTATGCATGATTACGCAACCCTATGCCTATGTGCATGATGGCTTTATGCATGATTACGCAACCCTATGCCTATGTGCATGATTACATAAAACGAATAAGGCAAAGCCTCAAAGCGACCTCTTTGTAGTATGAAAAGAGGCAAAGCCTATGAACAGAGAAGTCGGTTAAAGTAATCTTTCATTTCTATTTTTTTTTTTTTTTTTTTTTTTTTTTTTCGTTTTTAAAGTGCCATTCGGTATTTTTTTGGACTGCTTCCGTTTATTCTGGTTCCCTGTCCTATTATGATTTTCAAATAAGTGCGCAGGAGACCAATCAACGCATCCGTTTTCAGTCAGAATTCCTTGGCTTTTATTCTTATTTTGTAAGTCGAAAAGTTACGACTGACCATAATAGACCATTTCCCATAATTTTGCATTACTTCCGGCGAAAGTTTTTAAACCATCACTATTTAGCAGGTACTCGCGTTAACGTAAAGCTCGCCTTGCGAGCAGGCCGTTCGGGACAGCTCTTCGTGCTCGCTATTTTCATGTGCATGAATACACATGGCTATATGCATGCTTGTATAATATGAAATTAGGCAAAGCCTATGAACTGGAAAGTCAGTTAATTTTTCCGTTTTAAAGGTGTCTTTCGGTATGATATGCACCGCTTCCGTTTTCACTCGGAATACTCGACGATTATTATTTATTCGAAAAGTTACGATTGTCCGTTATCGGAATATCCCGCCTATTATCATTGAATTACATTGAAAATGGCTCTGCCCGACAAGAACTGACCACAAGGACCTAGCACAGTGTTGGGATAGTGTAAAAAAGTAATTCTAAAACAATATATATACTGTATATCAAATATATGAACAAGGGGTTGAACTCGCCAAATCGGCCGTATGCCACTAGTTCAGTAATATGAAATTAGGCAAAGCGTATGCGCGGGGAAGTAATTTTTCCGTTTTAAAGTGCCATTCGGTATTATATGCACCGCTTCCGTTTTCAATCGGAATACTCGACGATTATTATTTAATCCGAAAAGTTACGATTGACCGTTATCGGAATATCCCGCTTATTATCATTGAATTACATTGAAAATGGTGTCGCCCGACTAGAACTGACACTGAAAATTTCATTAATAAGTATAGAATTCTATGTTTTCTTTAATTTTTTTTTATTTGATTTTTCTTTTCACATATACACATGTAGTCTATAGCCGGGCAAGTCAAAGTCAGGGCCGGCCTTGGACTTCCCCGTATGACTATGTGCATCATAACATGTTGTTATGATTAGGATAACAAGTGTGATAGAATGCGGTTATGTTATTATAGTGTATTTATGTGTAATTAATTGGTTGATAGTTGACAAGACTAAGATACCTGTGTTTTATGGATAAGTCTATGAATAATTTCTTTAACTTACGGTCATATCAAAACTCCAACTAATGTGGAGGCGAAGCTGTGAGGTTAACGCGTCGGACTAGTAGGCTAAGGATTGCTGCTGGCGTGGGTTCAAACCCAGTCAGGGGCAGACCGTTCTTTCCCGTGAGCAAGAGACTTTATACATCCTTTGCTTATAATATGTACTGGTTGGTTTCAGAAACAGCGTTGTGAGTGTTTCAATAAGCTTAAAGCTTCCAACACAATCGAACTTATGTAAATTTAACGAATCTTAGCGAATGTGTTGCTGAACGTACTGGGCACTTATTATAACTTTTAATACGTTCTTGCTGCCTATATTGTACAATAAAAATGATTCTTATTTCTTTTGCCACTAAGATCTTTGACATTTTACTTTTCCGGGCACCAATTAAAAGTTTTAAACGCTCTCATTTTATTTGCTTGTATTGCATAAAAAATAAAACATTGTATGTAAGAACAATTATTTCCTCATCAAACCAGAGAACTGGGGTATTCATTTAATATCTGTTATGTAATCAAACTATTTAATCGCTGCTATTTTCAACAAAATAAATTAGCTGTTTGCATGTTACTGCAATATTACCAAGCTCACCAGAGTTTTGTATAGATCTATCTACTTATCATAAAAAACGCATTGTACGAGAAATAATCGCTTCTACTAAGGCTAGAATCGTAATAAGTATTCTTTCGCTGCATTTAGAAGGAGGTAAATACATTTATATATTTAATGTGTCAGAATGAAATCTAAAAGTGTTTTTTTTTAAGTTTATTGCAGCACAAACATTGCTTAATAATCTGATGGTATTTTAATGATTATAATTACGCGTATATACATATTGAATACTTGTATATGACTTCGGTTAAGTAATGTTATCTACTTCTCAAAGTTTGCTAAGCTTCATCAGTGTGAAGACTTTATTCTATTTGTATGCTACTATGCATGATATTTTCATTGGAATATATTCATGATACAGAGATATGATGGTAGACTGGTATAATGAGATATGATGGTACAATGATTAAATGATGTAGAGATATGATGCTAGAATTATGTCGTTAAATATTATAGTATAATGAGATATGATGGTACAATTGCAGAATGATATAAAAATACAGAGATATGATGGTATACAGGTATAATGAGATATGATGGTACAATTGCAGAATGATATAAAAATACAGAGATATGATGGTATACAGGTATAATGAGATATGATGGTACAATTGCAGAATGATATAAAAATACAGAGATATGATGGTATACAGGTATAATGAGATATGATGGTACAATTGCAGAATGATATAAAAATAAAGAGATATGATGGTATACAGGTATAATGAGATATGATGGTACAATTGCAGAATGATATAAAAATACAGAGATATGATGGTATACAGGTATAATGAGATATGATGGTACAATTATATAATGATATAAAAATACAGAGATATGATGGTATACAGGTATAATCAGATATGATGGTACAATTGCAGAATGATATCATGATACGGAGATATGATGGTACGATGATATCATGAGACATGGTAGAACAATGATATGATACTACAGAGATATGATGATACAATGATATAATGATACAGTTACATGATGGTGCGTGATATAATAATACAAAGATATAATGGTAGAATAATATAATGATACAGAAATATGATGGTACAATGATATTATGGGAATAAGGAGATATTATACAATGATATAATAATATAAAGATATGATGGTACAATGATATAATGATACAGAGACATGATGGTACAATGATATAATGATACAAAAATAAGTTGGTAAAATGATATAATAATACAAAGATATGATGGTACAATGATATAATGGGAATAAAGGAACAAAAATGATACAAAGATATTATACAATTATAGAATAATATAATAATAATAATACAAATATATAATTTAACTGTGATATAATGATGCAGAGGTATATAAGTGCGAAAACGATACAGCGATGCGATAATACAATGATATAATGGTACGGATATATATCATTACAGTACGTGGCTATAATGATACGGAGATGTTGACCAGTACTGGTTTTTATGGCGAAATCGGACCTTAACCAAAATATGACCGGAACATTCGATCCCTTGATAGACAGACACATGACCCAATATCCTGCCACTAATTTCTTTAGTTCATATTTGGAGACATCTTTTTAGATATTTTTTGCAAAGTACCTGCTCGCTAATTACCTTAAGTAATCACACCCAAAAAACGTAATTAAATCTTAAAATTCCGTAAACTGATCAAATGAAAGTGATAAATTTAAGTCACTTAGCGCAGTGGTTACTTTTCTTAATAGTTAGTCGCATCCTAAACTCTATATAATTGTGAAATTAAGATGAAAAGATCTTGGATTGTTATATTAAGTGACTTTTAACATAAGTCTTACACTTTTTATACAAGTGACCCCCGCCCCTCCCAATCACTGCACTACTTTGCCATTATTAGGAAAAAAGTAAAAGAAAAGATACATACCTACATTTTATATCCTTATTATTATAACCTTTCAATACACTTTATAATGTTTACTCCTTATTTCAAAATTTCAAAATATGATATTATGATATAGAAAACGTCCGTCGGTGTTTATCTCGTTTATCGGTTTAATACAGGTGCTATAAATTAGTTAATCTGTATACAAACAAAACAATACGATAACAAAAGACTACCGACACACATTGGCGACACAATTAAATCTGTCGGAATGTTTGAATTACAAGTTTGTTCAATTGACCGGGTATCGATTAAAAATCGATAACTGATTCTATTGGTTTATTGAAAATACATCAATCTGATTATTGGCATTGATACACGGTATTTTAATAGTCATTTCTCAAAACGGCAAGTATTAAATGTCATTTTAAAAGGGGTTAAAAAATAAACGACATTGAAAGCTTTTGATAGTGTACACCCATTAGCAGTGTATAAACTTTTGGCAAAAAATATTTCGTTTTTTTTTAAGGAAATATATTGTGGAATTTATCAATATCTTAATATTTTCTCTGATTTCATTCTCCTTTTTTTAAATGTTCTGGTATGTACCATCTGTTAGTTATAAAACTGTTTATTATGACTGAAATAATTCATATTATTATGGTGGCTGATTTGTACTTTGTCGTATATTCGCTCCGCGGGGCACCGGACGAAAATACGACAGTCAACCTTTTACAGTATTACTTTCGAAAACTCGAAAATACGATAAAGTCAATATTTTGTCGTACTTTGGCTCTGCGGAGCGCATGGCGAAAACAGAAAGATGACTTTGTCCTATATTCGTGTTTTCGCCTGGCGTGTCATCGGAGCGAAAATTCGACATGGCACAAATCAGCTACCATATATTGTTGCTTGTTAGGATAAAGATGTTTATTTTGGCTGAAATATCTCCTGTTATCTCTTATAGTTATCAAAGATTTGAGGCCAGAGTGTGTGTAAAAACATATTAAAAGTATTGCGATAACTGGCTTTTTTTGGCCGATTGTTTTCATGCCTAGTGTCGTGTCGGAGAACTTACGAGTATATAGTTAAAGAAAAATATGTATTAGAAAGGCATAACATATCAAACGAAATATAGGACTTGACAAAGAGAGAACATTTTAAGATTCTTTTCTCCATGTGTTTAACTAAATCAGACACAGGTAAAGTTAAGAAAAATGGATGGACTACTGGATATGATATATTCATCCTAGGAAAAAGTTTTTCTATCTTCAACCAAACTATAGAAACCAATCTGTCACTTTTCTAATGACTTTTTTTCTTATTAAAGCTGCATACCTCCAGATGAACCAGAATATTTCAAGAAAATCAAACTAGAGAAAAAGTACTGATAGCGTAAGAAAAGTTTTTAAACAAATCAAGGTAAATGCAATAATTTCCATGTAATTATAATGTGCGATTTATGACCGATTTTATAATATTTTTTACATTATTTCTACTGCGTTACTAACGCAGTAAGTGCTATTTTTGCATATCTTGACCTCTTTCAGGTAATTTACTTGGATTGTAAGTGCTCTTTGCAACGTGTAAATACATGTAACTTTCTTAGTTCATAATATTTTACCTATAATTTTATTTTTCAAAATTTTCATGAAAATTAGCATAAATCTGGAAACATGCTGCTTTAATGTCAAGTGTATGTAATGAATTACGAAAAAGGTGCTATTATTATGTGTAATGGCATGCCGTGTTTTCTGCTGTGTTCAATCGAAACATCTCGGGTATTATCGATCAAAAGTTTGACGGAAATGGCCGAGATGATGCGATTGCTGCTCTGCTGTGCCGTGTCGTGATGTTTTATTCTCATACTGACTTGTTAAACAACTTGCTAAAACCCCAATAAATGCATTTTGAATAAAGGGCTCCTAGTTTTGTTAATCTATTCTATTTTTCTAACAAAATATTCGTCCAAGTTAGCAAAAAAGCACGGATGCTCTGGATTCCTAAATACATATATTAATCTATTTCATTTTTAAGATAACTTGTTTCGAATACTAGTTATTTAACACAAATGCGGTCATTAAGATTTTACTGCACTTCGTGTGATCTGGGATTTTGTGTGGATAGTCGCAAGAGAGAGAAGTAAGGAAATAAATCCATTGAATATACTCGTATACAGCCTTAATTACCTCCCTTTAATTATCGAACAAAATGTTACTTGTGAAATAATATCGGTCTAAGCGGTGTTAACTGGCTATTTTACACTGGTTTGGAGTTTTAATGCGTAGGAATTGAATATAGAAATATAGGCATATATATGTATAAACTATAAAGCATAACAACAACAAAAGTTCTCTATGGGGTTCGTACTCTCAGTACCTCAAGGGTGGACGGACCCATGTTAAGTATTTAATACTCATACAAACCTCTCTTTCCCTCTGTACGTGCACGTCGTTGAGATGGCACATGGCTTCCACAGACGATTAAGACGGCGCAAACAGATAAGCGGAATTTGTATCCTGCGGACCAGTTGCCGATGTCCTGACTAAAGCCGAGGAGAATGCGGCTACAAAGCCGGCAGGGGCGACGAGGAAAGTGTGAAATTGTGCTTAAGCACATAGCACAGAGAGTGGCTGATTGAAAGGAAAGACCATTGTTGGTATAACAGCCCTTATCAGTGCTACCTCTTTTTCATATTGTCTCAGGTTACTGTACATTAAACTTTTCATTGGCCGCCGTACAGTGACCTACTTTTTGCTTCAAAATTAGCCCTTAAAGAACATGACATGTCCGGAGTCCGTACTAGTCATTGAACTTCCTGTGCCCTTGCGGGCGGATGGACCTTCATTAAGCATATACCTCATTCATACAACAACGAAACAACCAAAACACCACCACCAACAACAACAACAGCAGCAGCAGCAAAAAGACGGATGATCTGACAAGGCTTATATTATCTCAGAATTAACGACCTTACAATGTAATACCATTTTTGAAAATGAGACAGATGGACGGACGGATAGAAAGACAGATGAAAAAATCAAGTAGTTGGACAAATATAGAGGCAAGCGGTAAATGTATGGACAGACGGACGGTAAGACACAGATGACAGACAGTAAGTAGTTGCAAGACGAACAGAAAAAATATTACTCATCTTTTTGTCATATGTATGTTTATATATTTATCATAATCTTTGACAAAAATATATTTTTGTCCCAGTCATCATCAAAAAAAGTACCATGCATTTGACATCGTATCAGACGATTGAGGGTCCAATTGAGGCCATTTTGTAATTGAGAGTCCAATTGAGGCCATTTTGTACCAAATGAAGATTAATGTGTCACGATATCTTTACAATATTTTGCAATGTTTAATGCATATTTTCACATTTCACTCGACATTTGTATACAAGGAAACCTTGAAATATATAAACTGAATGGAGCCTATAGAATACAATATCATTGATAAAAGTATACTGCCTATTGTGGCTAGTGAAATATCGAATGAGATTTTTAAACGGATAAACGGTCTTCTAAATCATAAAAAGTTGCCGCGGGGCACGATATGATAAACTGGGATAAAGTTTATATTTATTTTATAAAAGTATAGGGCATAAACTTTATTTTAAAGTAATGCATCAGTACATTTTTTCTCAAATAAGCCGCCGATTACGAATAATATTAACATTATCCGGAGCATGACGGAAATGACCGAAACGTTGCGTTTGGAAAATAGCACGGATATGAAATAGCGAGAAAAAGGTCCATTAATGCTATTTTTGAGTAAAGTATACCTCTTAATCAATTTTTCTGCGTTACGTTATCTGTATCACGTTTAAAGAAACCATTTTGCATGCTTTAAACGTGCTAGTGCGATGTTACTTAACAGCTATATTTTGATCATAAAACAACCGAAAATTGCAATTTGTTACATTATAATATGCTACACAACGATGCACGTTGGGTTCCAAAGTTCTAAGGTTGTCAAAAGAGTTCTGCTTAAATACTGGGTACTGACTCATTTTGGATCCGCAACCTTGAAATATTTAAGGTGGAGTTCAAGATGACGGTCAATACTTAGATACATCATTGTGCAGTCAAATAATCGTTCTGAGTGCCAGTTAAATTCTGATGCAACAGTATTTTTCAATGTATTATTTTCGCTTATTTAATGAAAGTTATCAATGTTTTATTAATTTTACCACTTTAAGGGCACATTTTGTCTCAGAAATCAATTTTTTTTATTCTTTAAAAATGATGTCAAACATGTGTTAAATTATAAATAAGAGCATATAAGATGTTTAACAACTGAAGAAAGTTGCGCTGAATGTGCAGTAATGTGTCGTAAAGATAGCAAAATGTAAACAAAGTAATATTTTGACTTGCATAGAAAATACACATTCACTATAATTATACTCATCGCCAACAGAGCAAAAAGAAATAAAAGATTGTCAGTTTATCTACGTGGCAAAAAGAATATCTGTATGGAAACTAGATTTATTCTATACGGACCACGAAAAAACTTCGACACATCGAAAAATTCGACACATAAAATCTCGACTCATAGATAATTTTTTTTTAAGAAATATAAGGGGAAAATCGGGACTTTCATTTTACTTCGACACATCGAGAAAATCGACTAATCGAAGTTCGACTTATAGAAGTTCTACTGTATTTAAATTAAAATTAATGTACATATATCCTTAAAACAGATGTTTCGAAGAGCAAATTTCTTCTGTCATTAATTTACTTGATAAGTTTTGGAGTCATACTGAACCCCAAATTTATTAGTTTAGATTAGACATATTTTTTAAGCTCGATTGCGAAACAAGTTCTTGCAACTTGTATTAATTGCTTTCGAGTCCACTTCCTGGAACCAATCAGTACTGCTGTCATATGAAGAAACGAGTAGGGCTTGAACCCACACTCCCTAGGTTGAGAGGCAGACACCATAACCACCTGGTCACCACTCCTCCTATTTATTATGATGGGAATGTAATAAAATGCAGTAAATATAATTTCATTGCACCTTTTTTTTCCAACAATTTAATTTCTATTTAAATAACTTTTAACAAGTAAATTAGAAGTAACATTAACGATAGAAAATTAAAGAAGCGTGTGGGCTACAAATGAGCGATTAATTCATGTCAAACCTATTTCACAGTTTTCGATTTTCCTAAATATTTGAAACACATGAAATCGCTAATGTAAACGTTTACAGTGTTGAATATGGTGGCTGATTTGGTATACTTTTGT